TTTTAATCAATATATTATATTTCCTTTTATTTTTTTACCATCTTGTTTGTATTAGTTAATATATTATATTATTAGAGTTTTGTTTCAATTATATTTTAAAAATATTATAATTAATTAATTTTTCAAGATGCCCTTTTTGATCATTTTTATACTCTTATCATCAACTAGCTCATCACCTAATTTGCTAAAAATAACCTTTTAATTTTTAAATTTATAAATCATCCGATTTATAATTTAAAATCACAATAAATTATAAAAATTAAATAAAACTAGAAGGGTACTCGTGCAATGCAGCGAGATACATCTTGATTTTAATATTTCATTTCATTTTTTTTAATCTTAAATCGATGTTATAACATTGTCTTATGTGATTTTGAAAAAACGATGATGTTTTTATTTTTGAATAAAATATAAATTTGAAGATATCATAAAAATTTGACAAAATTATATCGATATTAGTATCAAATTAACTATTTAAAATTACTCATTTTTTGTTTTTTAATTCAAATTTAATATAAAGTCAATAACGAAATAGTTTATATTTGGTTTAATAATATAATTTTCTTATAAAGATAATAATTAATTATTTTGTTAAAACTCGATAATTATCTTAATTATATTTTATATTTTAAAATGTGATATTTATCTTTTATCTGATTTTGTTTATCTGCAGTTAGTTACACGAATTCAAACATAAAGCTTTAATAAGTTATACTTATACATAATTTACTTATAATCTTAAATTTTAATCAATATACATCAATATAACTTTATACATAATTTTTTTTTATCTAATATCTTGTAATATTATATAGATATAGATATTGCGGTTTAAGTTCTCATATTGTATGGAAGTCGAGAGCTAAAATAAACCCCAATTTCAATAACCAACTTTAATACCGATCGAATGCTAATTGAAGCTCGCAAATTAGTTCATTGAAAACCTCCTGGGCTTCTCTTTCAAGAATCGAAGGAGTAGAATTTGAAGAAAATGTCACTGGGATACGCTGAGAAGCTCTCCTATAAAGAAGATGTTGGGGCTGTCGGAATGTCCGAGATTTTCGATTCTCCAGATGTCTTGCAACAAAAAGTATGTCGTTTTTATTTCCCTAATTGTAATTATCCCTAATTCTTTCTAGATTTGTTTCGATTGAACTGCTATTGTTCTTATTTGAACCCTAATTTTGAATGCACTTCTTCATTTTCGTCATCAAGTGATTACGTTATTGATGGATTTTGGTGTGTTTGTTGAGGTGGAGTTTTCGTTATAATGACTATTTGTCGACATAAATGATGATTGTAGTTATTGATTTCATTTTTTTGCGTTTAATTAGGTTTGATTACACTCCTAAATTTGATGCAGATTTTTGTTAGCTAGGTTTAACGTTCTGATCTTGTTGCAATCAAATGGTCTCATTAACAAAATTAAAGAACAGTTTTTGGACTATGAAATAAAAAGGAATTTAAATTTGTATTGATGGAGTCATTGAGTTCTTTTTCTTATCATCTTTTGTGAATCCTGGTTTGTGTCTCTCTTAATATTACAAGATTCATGAAAGAGTTATTGGCCTAGCGGTATCCGGGTTGCATGAAAGGTGAGGAGGGTGCGAGTTTTGCTGTATATATTTATTATATAACTTCAAAAAGAATACAAGATTCTGCATTAAGCTTTTTGTTTTTGGTATATGTACCAACTTTTTTCGATTACTTTCGTTGGTTCAAATAGTTTCACAATTAGATATGTAAAGTTAGGGAGGGGAGTTGTTGTGAATGATAGATTATTATTTAACTATCTTTACAACTTTAAAACTTCAAAACCGCTATAAGCATGTCTGTAAGGGTCTGTTTGGTTTGATGAATTGATTTTGAGGGATTTGAATTTCATGGAATGATATGGAATTGGAAGGATTTGGATTTGGAATCTTTGGTTTGTAGGATTTGAAATGGAATTGAATTCCATTTTCTATAAATAATTTATAAAAATAATTATATTACTTTTTATTAATTGATTATTACAAAACAAAATTTTTTTTTTTACATATTTTAAAACATTATTATATACAAATCCTATGAAATCCCATGAAATACCAACCCTTCCCTTAGGATTTCAAAATCCTATGTTTATGGGATTTTAATGAAATCCTGGGATTTCAGATTCAGGAAATCCTTCAAACCAAACAAGGGATTGGAATGGAACTCAATTCACCCATCCATCCTGCAAACCAAAAGGGACCTAAGAGTTTGCATTCTTTTTGTTAAGTATTGAGTAGAGCATTTATTTTTTCACTCTACATTTTACATTTGGAGTTTCTACCCATGAAATCCCTAATCCGTTTACGCCGACAGGCCGGGATACGAGATGGGTGAGAGTGAGGTAGGAGGGAGGGGGGTTGAAAGAATTGTGCAAGGAGAGTTCTTATAAGTCACTCGTATTTTTGCAAGAACCTTGGTTCTTACCTTGAATTTTGTGTGAAATGTTATTTTATTACTTTTTTTAATTGATTTGAAAAGATATAATAAAAATAATGGTGAAAAACGTACATGGGACCCACAAAAATAGATTCTTGTAAGTCACTCTATTATCGGGTTTCATGGAGGTTCTTAATTTGGTGAGTTGACAATGACGTGGCAAAAAAAAAAACGTAAAATGGGTTCTTATAAAACTTGTAAATACTTCAAGCTTTTGTAGTCCTACTAATATTACAAATTTTTCTTTCTGTTTGCAGATTAAACAACTTGCAAAGATGATTAAAATGGTCAAGTTCAAATCTGCTGTTTTTGATTCGTCATATTTACTTCAAAAGTGCATAGAGAAGGACGAATATAAGTGTTTGATTATATTTCATGAAATTGTGGCTGCAGAGTAAGCATCTAGTGGCATTTACGGGTGCAGGGATATCAACTTCTTGTGGGATACCTGATTTCCGAGGTCCAAAAGGAGTTTGGACTCTTCAGGTGCAAAATTGTACCTCCATATGCTCATAAATGCTATAATTATCAAAGAAATGTATTCGAATGCCAAAGAGAGAGAGAGAGAGAGAGAGAGAGAGAGGAGAATGAAAACAATAGAAGACAAATTAAACCCCCCTTCTCCCAAAAAACTGGTTTTCTTTGTTATAATATCGACGGTTTATTTTATTTTTTGGATTGCAGCGGGAGGGTAAAGGTGTGCCGGAAGCATCTTTGCCATTTCATCGTGCAGCACCAGGTATTACTCATATGGCTTTGGTTGCATTGGAACGAGCTGGTATTTTGAAGTTCATTATCAGCCAGGTTAAATTTTGTGGTTATTTTATTTTAAGGCGAAATGAATCAAAATGCAACAAAGTTTGGTTTAGTTCCTAATTAGTGTAACGAAGATTTTTTTTCCTCAATCGTTGTAAAAAAGTTCCAAAATTTTCTATTTTGTACTCAATTTGACCGGTAACGTGTTGATCTTGTAATATTTGATGACGCGGGTATACCCATTTACGATATGTTTATGCCGAAGTGGATGATAAACTTGATATACAATTAATCAAATGTTACAATATTAGCATGTTATTGGTCAAAATGGATACAGAAAAGTAAATTTGACACTTTGTTACGTTGATTGAGAAAAAAATTGTTCGGGACAATAAATAAGAATTAAGACAAACTTCGTTGCATTTTTTTGTTTTATTTTATTTTATAAATCAGGTTATGTTTGTTTGGGCAGTGCGACTGTGATTGAAAATTTGAGTTTTTATTTTAATTTTTAATTCTGTAGAATGTGGATAGCCTTCATCTCCGTTCTGGAATCCCAAGGAACAAGCTTTCGGAATTGCATGGAAATTCATTTAGGGAGGTTTGCCCTTCATGTGGGACAGAGTAAGAGTTTTTATCTACTTATTTATTTTTAGTACTTTATACCATTGGTGAACCCAGAATTTTTCGTGTGGGTACGCTTTGAAATTGGATCAAAGGCCCGCAAAGTTGTCCGATGTGTTTTTAGCCGAATTCCACTGTTTCAAGAGATCTTTTAAGTTTTTTGGTTGATCTCGAGGAGTTTTTCGGTTTTTTGGTTGATGTTTCTTGTATTTTCTAGTATCCCAGAGCACCGCTCAAAGTTTAGTAGGCGCACCTTTAATAGCCAATTTTTTTTACTTGCAAAAATCAGTTGAGCAGTTGCATGGGACCTTGCTCGTGCATGAATAGGTGCGCATCTGCTTTTTACCCTGTTCGTCCCAAAATAAGTGCCCACCTTTAAAAGTAAGTGCTGACTTTCCAATTTTACCCTTAATTATCAGATGGAGAAATTCATTACTCCCGGCCTCCCGGTTACAATTGTCATTTAGTTAATTAAAAAAGGTGTACTAATCATGCATTTATAAAATCGTGTGCCTTTTTCATTGTGGTTTTTTATTTGGCATTACTCTCTCTATTATTAAGGGTACAATTGTCATTTAGTTAATTAAAAAGTGTAATAATTACACATTTATATAATTGTGCACCTTTTTCATTGTGGTCGTTTTATTTTGGTATGGAGGGAGTAAATGCTTGGTTAATCCTCTGTTTATTACTCGTGTAGAACACACATTTCTCTTAGACCATTTTTTAAAGTATTCTTAAGGACTTATTCTTTATGTAGGTACTTGCGAGACTTCGAGGTGGAGACAATAGGTTTGAAGGAGACATCAAGACGTTGTTGTGATGCAAAATGTGGGGCAAAACTCCGGGATTCTGTTCTCGACTGGGAGGTACTTATCATATACTCCTTCCGTCCCAAGATAAATGTCCACGATAAAAGAAGTATAATATTAGAAATGTATAATTATTACACTTTTAATTAACTGAATGACAATTTCACCCTTAGTAAAATGCACACTGTTAATGAATTTCTTCATCTCATCAACTCATAAATATTCATGCATCAAAGGGTAGAATTGGAAATTTAGTAAATTATAACTATCTATTTCTGAAAGTGGACAATTGTTCTGGGACAAACTTAAATAGAATATAGATACTTATTTTGGGATGGAGGAGTACAAAATACACCTTGATATTTTTTTCATCACCTCAAGGGCGGATCCAAGATTTTTGTTGAGTGGGTGCAGCTTTAAGGTGAATCAAAGGCCCACAAAGTCGCCGATGTTGTTTTTAGTCGGATTCCACTGTTTTGAGGGATTTTTTAAGTTTTTTGGTTGATTTTGAGGGAATTTTTTTATTTTTTGGTTGATTTCGAGGGACTTTTTCGGTTTTTTGGTTCGAGAGACTTTTTTGGTTCTTTTTGTTGATTTCGAGACTTCTTTTTCGGTTTTTTGGTTGATGTCCTTGTATTTTCTAATATCCCTGAGCACCCCTCAAAGTTTAGCGTGTGCTGTGTGCACCTAGAAACCCCAAAAGATTCTACTTGAGAAAATCGGTGGAGCTAAGGCATGGGACCCCGTTGGGCCCATCATAGGTCCGACCATGCATCACCTAATGAGCTGCTATGTATTTTTTGTGACATATCACAAATAAAGGGAACCCACACACCCCCTTTCTTTATTATTCTTAACGATGCCGTAAATTTCATAATTTTGTGTATGCACTTTACTTTTACTTCATCCATTGTTCTTTATAGGATGAACTTCCTCCTACAGAGATGGATGCAGCAGAAAAACATTGTCGAATAGCGGATATTGTGTTATGTTTGGGGACTAGGTAATTGTTATGCCTGTCCGTGTCCCTTTTTTAGGAAATTGTAGCAAAATTTTTCCCCGTGATTTGTTGCATTGAAAAGTTCAAATGGACGCAAAGAAATGAATTGAATAACGTACCTATCTCAGAAGGGTTTTGGTCTTTTATTTCTTTATATATTGATATCCTATTTAATTGCAGTTTGCAGATAACCCCTGCATGCAACCTTCCTTTGAAGTCCGTCCGCAATGGAGGAAAGATGATAATTGTCAACCTTCAGGTAAGCCATTTTATCTTCATAGAGCATCTCCAACAAATCCTTTAACATGGAGAAAATGGAGATTTTTGGGATTTTAAGAAAGTTTTGTGCTCGATTCTCCACAATGAAGGACGTAGGAGAGAGAGTGTGTGCGAAATGCTTCAAATTTGGGGAACTCCCCAAAAATGATTACCATGAGAGAAATTTTTTATTATATTCCTACCAATAAGAAAACTTGAAATCAAATGTTTAGGAAAGAGAGAATATTTTAGCAAATGTATGGAATATTTTAATAATATAATTGATGTTGTAATCTCCAAACGAAGAAGCCGTTGGAGTTGAATATAATTTTTTTTTGGAGATTTTGAATTTTGATTCTTCATTTTGGAGAATCCGTTGGAGATGCTCTCATGCTCTGTTTGGCAACCATAAGCTAGATTATTGAAAAAGCCCTTTTTAGTTTGCTTATAAGCTAGCTTCTCTAAAACTTACTTCAAGTAGCGTTTCAATAAGCTTTATGGTTTTCTTTTTCACTTTTTCCAATTATGCCCCTTAAATTTTTTCGATTTAATTTTCAACGTGTCATTTTACATTGTCATGTAACTTATAACTAGCTTTTACCCACCATAACTAGCTTATCAGCTAGTTTGCGAAACATAGCCTTAAGGGGGCGTTTACTAAACACTTACCGGATGTCACTTACCTTATCGAGTGAGCATGTGAGAATTTTACCCGGTAAGAGGCATAGCATGGACCAAGAATCTTATCCGGTAAGTGAGGGAGAAGACTCTTACCCGGTAGCGCTTAGCTGGTAAAAGACGTACACCAACAATCCATTTTAATGGCCGATAATGTTACCTGATAAGGTAGATAAGGGCGATGACTCTTGCCGGTAAGCATTCGGTAAATGGCCCCTTTTAGTGTCTTTTCTTGCATGTAAGCTTTGAGGATTTGAATTTGTCTATCTTGCGGTAGATGCAAACTCTTTTGGCCTGAATTGTGATTATATAATAAGAGAGAAGTTGTACTTTCTCCGTCGCATTTGGAGATTCTGCACATATTAATTTCATGCGTTGGACAAAGAAGTTAACCGTATCTCGCTTAGGCCGATATCTACCAACTGATTCAAACATGCCAATAAGCGGGTTTGAAGATAGTAAGAGTATTGACATTCTCATCAAAAGGATGAGTATTTAGTCAAATGTATAAATTAGCCTTCTCGTCCCTCTTGGCAAATTAGGGGAAAATTATTTTGCTAGGGCTCTCGGTTTTCAAGTTAAGTCAAGTCTTGTGGGAAAAATTGTGAGGATATCGGGGAAAATAGGTTAATTTTAGCATGTAAAATTAGGAATATCTCAAAATGGAAATTCTTGTAATTTTCATTAACGGAGGAAGAAATAATAATTTAGGCAAACATTGACCGCCACAACCTTCTCTTTGCTTGTGGTGCTTTGGAAAGATGATCTTGAATTTTACAAACTTGTTTTCGTTCATTTTTATACGTCATTTCCTACTTCTCTCTCAAACCTTTGTCATTATTTCGGAAATGAGAATTCTTCAGTTTTTTCTTTCTAAAATTCTTTTTACAAGCAGGGGGCTTTCAATGTAAACAATGTCTTTACTCCTTGGGGTAGAGGTAAGGTCTGTGTACATCCTTCCCTCTCCTGACCCTACTCCATGTGGTATTTACGGGTTTGTTTGGTTTGGTTTCAAGTACACATTTCTCCTAGTTTAACCTCACTGGAAGTCAAATATGTTATCTTTTTCATATTATTATTGGCGATTAACTTGTGGGTATTAATGATATTGAACCTTCACAGCAAACTTCGAAAGATAACAAAGCAAGTCTGGTTATCCATGGTTTTGTTGACAAGGTATAGACATTTATTTGCACTCAACTTATTACTCCCTCAGTCCCAAAATAAATGTTCACAATGAAAGAGGCACAATTTTATAAATGCGTAATTATTACACTTTTTAATTAAATGATAATCTTACCCTTATTAGTTGAGGGAGTAATGAAATTTCTCCGTCTCATAATTAAGGGGTAGAATCGGAAAGTAGACATTTACTTTTGAAAGTGGACACTGAATTTGGGGCAAACTAAAATAGAAACATGGACTATTATTTTGGGATGGAGGGAGTAGCATGTTTTCCATTCACATGCATATATACTTTTCACCATGTATGCTATTTTTTGCATAAGCTTTGGTGTCAAATATATGGGCTGGATTGTGTAAGGTAGAAATCAAGAACAGATAAAAGTGGATCATTTGTTTTATTGAATCTAGATTTTTCTTTTGGGAAATTGACTAAAATAGCCAATCTCCCAACCAACTTCACTTTTTAGCCACTTTTTCAATTAAATTCCCATTTTAGCTAGAGTTTATGAAATGTCTTGCTCATTTGCCTAAACTCAATTTTCAGATTAAAAGAAGAAAAAAGATTTTTCGCGCAAAGATTCAGATTTGTGCGTAAGAATCCTTACGTCTATGCGCAAGGATATTTGTTCCTCCAGAAATAGGCTTTACGCAAATGCATAAAGCATAAGGCTGGCTATTTTGAAAAGAGGCTCTGAAAAGTGGCTAAAAAGTGAATTTGGTTGTTGGGATTGGCTATTTCAGTCAATTTCCCTTTTTTGTGTGAATGCTGAGATGATCAGAAATATACTAATTAGTCTTGGATCCTGATGATGGTATGAATTAAATGCGAATTGTTTTCTTCGATCTTTTTATAATGAGTTTGGCTTTTGCCTTCGGCCTAGCAGGTAATGGCTGGGGTATTGAATCATCTTAAAGTGCAGATTCCTCCATATGTTCGAGTGGATCTCTTCCAGATAATCTTTAATCAATTCCGATGTGTCTCAGGTACCTATGGTTTTTGTTTCGTTGACCATCATGGAAAAATATTTAGTTTTCTTGGTTTTTCTTTAATAATATTTAACTGCTGAATCCATTTGGCTGATTCTTTATTTGGCTGTGACATTGAATGTTCCCTCGAAATCAAAAGATTGTTAGCGCATTTCGTGAAAGTTGGGTGCCATGAAATTGAAAACTAATAGTATAAACTCACAATTGAAAAGTATATCGAAAAAGATGACTCTAGTTATTTGATTTTATCTAAAAAGAATCGGCTAAAGTGCTTGTTGATTATAATCTACTGTAATGCTATATTCTATGAAAACATAAACAACATACTAAAAATAGAGGAAAACCTGAATGCTCCCCCGTCTCAAAATAGATGTCCACAATGAAGAAGGCACAGAGGTTTTAGAAATGTGTAACTATTACTCTTTTTAATCAACTAAATGACAATTTTACCCTTAATAATAGAGGGAGTAAATATCATAATTTAGGGCAGAATTGGAAAATAAACACTTTTGAAAGTGGACACTTAGTGGGACAAACTAAAATAGAATGTAGACATTAAAAGAGGGGAGAGGAGACATATAGCAAAAACTCAGAAATGACAAGCAGAAGAGCTGCATCTGGTTTATTTAAATCATATAAGAGTTATGGTCTGTTTGTTAACAGCTTAATGAGCTTAATGGGATTCACAGCTTATTTGGTCAACTATACATGACTGTTTGGTATCGGCTTAATGATATAGAAACTGGCCTATCCAACAAGCTTTTAAGGGGGAGCTTTATTCTCAATATGTACAGATAGATGAATCCACACAGACAACTTTATCCATATAGGACTTAATGGAAAACCAACCAAACAGCCCCTTATTTTTTTTTTATCATCTCTCTACTCTTAGGGGTAGAGGAAAGGTCCGCCTACATCCTACCCTCCATAAACCCTACTTTCGAGTGAGATATACCGGGTACGTGTGGTTTGATTTAGAGTTACTTTTGGTCTAATCATGGAGGCTCACTTGGGTGCTTATGTGGCCACATTATTGTTTCATAGATTAACCAAACAAGTATCATCTCTTGTTATGCTGTAATTTAATCGACAAAAGCCAGCCAATAATATCTTACTTTCATGCCCATTTCTGTCACTAAGTCCCCTGATCTGCTTTGTATCTTGTTTCTAGCGTTGGAGGGACTTGTCGTTAGATTGGTTCACTCATGCACATGATGACAGTTTTTTGCCACCTCTCTAAACTTATATTGCAGAGACAAAATATGCAAAATGGTCTCTTAGAGTTACTAGTGTGCATGGAGAAAAAGCTCTGCTGCCATTTATTGAATCAATCGAGGTATATAATATGCTTTTGTATGCTAATCATAGCTTTTATGTTTATGTCCATCCTCATTTTGCTTTCTTTAACCTTGTTTTACGTCATTTATCAAGTTGTTTGATGCTATTTAGTCTGCAATGTAATGGATGATTCACAACCACACATTTTTTGGTGGTTTTCTAGTGAAAAAAACCCTTGTTTTTTCGGTGAATCATTGGATGTGTTATGCAGGTTACGTTTCCAGAGAGGCCAGAGCTGAAAACTGCTGTGCTACAACAGCAACCGTTTTTGCTGAAGAGGTAATTATTTTCGTGTAGCTTAATAGCTGTTTCTTGACTCCAGCCATTCAGCTGCAATTCATTTACACCCAGTTAATGTTTATTAGAAACATCAAAGTATATATCCGTGACAAATTCAGCATAAAGAGGAGCCCTAGGAAATTAGAACTAATATGATGTTTGCTTTATTTTGACTTCTATAGCTATTCATTATGAAATGCCTGAAAATGCTTGCTCTAAGCCGCATACGAGAACCCCACATGTACCTTTTCACCTATGTGCATGTATATATATATATATATATATACATGCACATGGGTCAGTTTTAGGGGAAAACCGCAAACATGAAAAACCGAGGAACACTCTAGTAAGCATTCTTCTGTACGGTATGCACATATGTAAGTAATTATGCACATGTGCATAGAAACCAGGAAACATCTTCAATTACTTGTGCATACTGCACAAATGAACGGTTATTAGGGTGTTCCTCGTTTTTCATTTCTTTTGGTCTTTCTTCTTGAACTTCACTTGTATACATATACATGGTTTGGTTCAAACGAGAATAGGGTCAAAAATAGGAAAACATGAGAATGCCTATATCACATGTGATTTTACATTGAAATCATATTGCGATTACAAAACACTGTCAATGCAAGGGTGTGTGGGCGACTTAGCCCACGACCTAGGTCACCGGCAATGTCCCCCTATTTCACATGTGATTTAGTGTAAAATCACATGTGATATAGGCGATCTTGTTTTCTTAATGTTGACCCGTTCTCGTTTGTACCTCCTTATATATAATACACATACATACATAACCTTCAATGCAGATCCATGTCAGGAAACTGTTCTTCAGGTTTACAAATGTCAAAAATATGTCTCATCTGCAAAAGGAGATGTAGGAAGGTAGTGAGGTGTAAAGATAAGCATGAGGCATATCATCAAAATGTTAGACACAATATTATTTAATCTTGAGCATCTATAACATCACATATTCTTCTCTTGATTCTAGAACATCCTTCGATCCTAGCTTCATCAGGAAGGTATAAGAAGTAAATGTGAATGACTAACAGTATGCAATATGGTGAACTGATGATTGCAAGTTTTTAAGTCAAAATCAAGTGCAAATAAGATTAAAAATAAAACAATGAATTGGGGTCCCCCTTTTGGCATTTCTGATTCTTCGAGGATATGCTACCACAAACAATATGCTATATATGATATCTTTTAAGTAATTATATTTCACCAACGAATAATATTGAACAAGAAGTCAGGCGCTCTTACCAAAATGCATATAAGAGAACCTCGAGAGCTAATCTTGAGAATCCAACATATGGTCAATATGTTTCTTGTTCAGTCAGGTGCATTTGGTATTCCGACATGATAGGATAGGACAAGACATAACAACTATTTAGCGTTTGGTAAGAGAGAACTAGACACGGCAAACAGATAAAATGACCAATTTAAACTAATGGGCTGTTTATATATTTTGATTAATTAGTGGGCCAAGGGTCCAACGGGAGCTCGGTCTCTCTCCCCGTGCTATTCCTCCCCACCAAAAACGAGCGATTGTATTTATGTAATTTATTAAAGTATAATAAAATAAATATTTTATATAACAAAATCTATCATTATAAAGTTTTCGTCAAGACGATTAAAGTGACACCAAAATACAAAGTTTATGTAGTTTCCAATTTTTATGTTATACATTTTTTGTATTATTTTTTTTTGTCACCAATATTTAATAAAGTATATAAATTAATCAAAATATAAAAACGGTATAAAATTAATATGTTGAGGACAGTAAAGTGGAAATTTAAAGAGCATAAAATACAATAAATAAAATTTAAAGAATGAATACAATGTAAAGAAGGAGGCGTATTTGATGTTTTAAAAGAGAATTAGATTTTTTTGAGGTTATATTGGTAAAATGTAGGTTTGTTCCATCTTGTTCCACCTTGTTCCATGGGACGGGGGTGGAACATGTCTGTTCCACTTTGTTCCTGCCAAACATGGAACTGTCATCCCTGTTTTGTTCCGTCCTGTGCAGTGTACCATATGCACCCTAAAGATTCACATTTGCTTCTTTGCTTGTAAAAAGATCTTCATTGCAGAATATTCCGAAACGATTGAATTGCATCTTATATCAACTCATCAAGCAATATCACTATCATAGTTTTGACCTCAAATTTTCTGTATGCAAAGAATTATTGGAATTTGGAACCTGTGGGCTGTGAATCATGTATTCTTGTAGATGTTTTTGTGTCATCCAAGTGTTCTTTTGCTATTTACAACTGCAGGGAGACGCTTAAATCAAGACCACTTCATATGGTTCTATGGGTTAACTTCAGTGAAGGCTGTGGTTGCCGTTTCATCAGCATTGATTTTCCAGTTGATTTTGAGGTAAACACCTCGCATATTATTCTGCTTAACCCCTGAAATTATTCGTCTCATGTCCCAAGTTTTTCCAAGGGAAATCTGTCAAAATTTCTTGTTCATAAAACGATTTATTTGGTGTTTTAATGCAGGCATCGACAGATGGTATCAGCCAAGATAAGAATATTGTGATTCAGCAGCTTAGAGACATGGCGAATCAAGATCAATATTGTGGGCAGTCGTCTGTGGTTGACAGAAAACTCATTTCAGCTTCCGGGAAGACGATTTCTACATATGCTGTTGCTACAAACATTGCTCAATACAGTGGATTTCCTTCAAAAAGCTCTGATATTACTGGGTTTTCTAACGAAGAAAAGGGAGGGAAGGAAAAACTCAATCTTGATGGTGGTATGGCTAGTTCTACCAATGGAGTGCCTGCAAAGAAAGTGCGAGTTCATTAACCCAAGTAGTCTTGTTTCATTTCGGTGCAGAAAGTTCTGTCGTTCTTGGAATGTATATATTCTGTTTGATATCAAAGAAAGTCAACGGTAGGTAGTAAAGAGAAACCCGAGTCAACTTTGAAGTGAATAGAGTTAACTCAGTTATGAGTAAAACTGTTCTGAGTTATCGAGTTCATCTTTTTGGCTAGATTATGTTCTTGCAACTCGAGTTGCGAGTGCTGGATTTGATGAGAACTTGATTCTATCATCATCAGCCGATTGGATTACAAGTATTTTGCTCAATTAGAATGAGTCTTCCCTGGTCCCATTAGATTAATGTTTTGAACTTTTAAGTTGGGCAATAGAAAACATACTGACAAAGTCTTCATAAAGTCTACCTTTGACCACCGTTTGGTTGGTTTTTCGTTAAGTCATGTATGGATAAAGTTGTATGTGTGGATTGATCGATATGTATAGACTGAGAAAGTTTTTGTTTGGAAGAGTTTTTTTTATAGACGGAAGGAGCATATTTTTTAATTGGGAAAGACAGTTTTGAAATAAAAACTCGTCTTTCTGCATAAAGCTCCTCCCCAAAAGTTTACTGGATAAATCACTTTCTATATCATTAAGTCACTATCAAACAATTATATATATAGCTGACCCGAATAAGCTGCGAGTCACATTAAGCTCATTAAGCTGCTAACAAACAGACCCCTGTTTGCCATCCAGCTTCTTTTATACTTCTTTGTTCATTTCTTGTTGGATAACTGTTGTCTGAGACGCCTCTAGGTGCGAAAATGGGGGATGGTGCATCGTTACTTGGAGATTATTGTTACCAAAATCTATAACTATCAGGCGATTCAAAGATACTTTGATTGTCGGACATGGGTATCTGTGTCTCAAGCTAACGGTGTTGATGAGTTGCTAAGATCGTTGATCAAGAAGTTGTTCTGGGCAAAGCGTGAAACGGTTCCTGGCGATTTGGGAACGATGAAGTTCAGCGAGCTAGGAGAGATGCTTATTGACAAGAAACGGTATGTGATTATCTTGGATGGTGATTGGTGTTTGGAACACATATCTTTGGAGTAAAATAAGAAGTGCATTTCTTGAATTAGCTCAGGGGATCATGATGAAATGTGCATGATTGCCGCTTGCCATAGTGGCAATCGGAGGCCTTGTGTGCTCGAGAAACAAGACCGTTGGGAGTGGAAGAAAGTAAATACACGATACCCTTAACTGGGAATTGAGCAATAATCCGATGCTTGAGAGTGTCAAAAGGTTACTCAATGCTATAATGAGTAAAATTTTCAAAGTACAATGTTCTTATAAAAAATAGTTTGAAAATACACAATGTAATAATAATTTTTTTTTATAAAACATAGATTGCTACATTTTTTTTTAAATAAAAAATTATTTTTGTTTCGTTTTGTTTCCCTCTTCTTTTTCCTTTTCATTTTCCCCCGAATTCGAAACACGTAGATTCTTTCAACTAAAGTTTGATTAGTATTCAATGAAACTAAGTTCCGGCCCCTGCCCGTAAAGCTACAGTGAGCGATTCAAGGCGCAGGGACAACCATAATGATCAGCAAGAAATCGTGAATGCTGATCATGCGGTTGTTGCTCCATCACCGGACTCAACAATCACATTCTTTCGGTTACTTTTCTGATTTTTCCTTACTAATTTCATATTCCAAGTTTAATTGATGCTGAATCTTCTTCCTGTTACTCCTGTTGAATTTTTCTCATGAACTGAATGTGCAAGATCTAAAGCAGCTTGTGTTTCGTGTAATTTCTTCTTAATTTTGTGAATTTCTGTTTGTTCAACTGCTTGTTTGATGTTCCGAGGATATCATCGCCATTTAACTAGCTTTAATGTCAAGCAGTATTGCGATGGCTTCAATTTGAGTTTGATATGAATACTAGGGTTATCCTGCTGAAGAATCGTGCGTCATTTGGTTTTCATGTGAGGATTAGAGTGTGAAATCAATATATATTCCTTTTAACGTATTGGAATTTAATCTTGTTAAAGCAGATCAATCTCATCGCCTATGGTTCGTCAAAATTGTAGTTACTGTAGCCATGATGATAAGCTGATATAGATTGTAGATTAACCAGCCATTATCTCCTACGTAGTAGGTACTTTTAGCTTAGCAATGATTATGGCCTATATAGTATCATTATCTTTTAGTTTTTTCCTTGTGGCTTCAATTCCATACGTCTGACTCACAATTGCGAAGACAACCATAATTATTTTCTCTTAAATTTGAAAAATGTCGTTAGTTAGGCTATACCTACTCTACGTGACTTCTTACTATCAATCTTTGTCAAATGGATGAAAAATGGTTATGGCTGTTGTTCTGAACCCAGAAAGTTTAACATTGCATATTTTTGTCTCTCTTCATATGCAAAATTTGATGGTTTGAGTTTCTCTGCTTCACTGACATTTGCTATTGTATTCCTCTTTGGTGTTCAATACTGCAGCTGCGTTCAATCTTGAATGGTGGAAATACTGGCTTCAAACTGCAGCTGCTTCCGTGATTTCCAGTTGGTAAAGGGAGAATAATGGACAATCTCAGTTTCTCAAGTTCAGTCTGTATTCGTAAATTGGAGAGGCATGAAGGTACATTCCCTAAAATTAAGAGGTTTCACAGATTTCAAGTTGAGATGCATCAGACAGGATCGCCCATGAAACATGGTATCAACGGTCAACCAGTAAAGCTGGGTACAAATGGTCAGCCTGTGAAATTGGGTGCCAATGGAAAACCAGTGAATGTGGATTCTAATGGTAAGCCCATAAAGCTGGGAAAAGATCGTAGGGCAATAGCTATGGTTCCTACAAGTGAAATGATGAAAAAGATGCCCTCATCTGAAAAAAGACCTCGGACAGTGAATGTGTTTTCACGGATTGTAAACCGAGCAAGTCGTGCTAAGAGAGAGACCATTCCAGGACTGGTTAATTCAAGGGAAGTTAGAGAGCCCACAGGTTTTCTGCCAAGTGAAGAATTGAAGGTCTTGCCATCAGATGAAAGCTTCAGCTGGGCAAATGAAAATTATAATTCCGTACAAAGAACAATAGATGTGTGGTCTTTTGTTCTATCCCTTTGTGTTCGTGTTCTGTTTGATGATTCAAAATGGTCATATCCTGGAGGCTTTACAGAAGGCAAACAGGTTTGAGGCCGCATCTGAGTTCCCTTGGTTGCTACATTTCTTTCTTTCACTATTTCTACCTAGTCTCCTGTTTTTTAAGTAAACCTGCATTTACGATGTATGTTCTTTTACTATCTGCTCTTTGTTATTCAGATAAGCAGACGAAGAAAAACAGCCTCGTGGTTAAGAGAACATGTGCTGCAACTTGGTCCGACCTTTATTAAGATTGGACAGTTATCTTCAACAAGGTTGGATCTATTTCCACGTGAAATTGTCGATGAGCTTGCCAAGTTGCAGGTACTGTTGGGCAATTTTCAAAACGATGTACAAAACTTAGTTGTTTGAGTCGAGTCTTAGGAAGAAGATGAAAAGTTGGAACCCAAAAACAATAGGTACCAGTTCGTTTGCTAGTGTTTTTAGCCACTAGTTTTAGAACCCCCAAAACGACAGGTACCATTTCATTTCTCTGCATATCATCATTGGCTTCTTCAGGTGGTGTAGAAATATATTTGTACAAGATGATCGAAGGTCAACTGTGGATACTTGTATCGTTTTATGTTAATTATGTCATCATATGTTACAGGACAGAGTACCTGCCTTCTCACCAACGAAATCAAAAGGTTTCATTGAGAGAGAATTGGGATCTCCAGTTCATGTACTGTTCAAGGAGTTTGAAGACCAACCGATTGCAGCTGCTAGTCTTGGTCAGGTGCTTCTACATAACCCTTAGTTTTGAATGGTTAGATTTATATGAACAACCCACAAATGATGAGAGAAGAGGAAACAAAAATAACCAATCTTTAGAAGAAGGTAAACGGATTGGTGGTTTTCTTATTTTATCTGTCCACATCCTATAGGTACACCAGGCTATACTGCATAACGGAGAGAAAGTAGTTGTGAAAGTCCAACGACCTGGTCTCAAGAAACTTTTTGACATTGATTTACGTGAGTGCACCTCTTAAAGAAATTATTACAATTTTGTGGTTTACACCATGATTCTAGCGTGTAAACCCCTTTATTCCAGGAAATTTAAAGCTAATAGCGGAGTATTTTCAGAGCAGTGAGAACCTTGGCAGTCCAACTAGGGACTGGATAGGTATCTATGAAGAATGTGCAAAGTAAGCATCCAACATACATAAGCTGAAGGATGCTCGAAGTGATCTTGCTGATGTGACCCGATACATAAGTTGGCCATTATTGTCTTTGCATTTATTTGCAGGATTCTGTATGAGGAGATTGATTATGTAAATGAAGCGAAAAATGCTGAGAGATTTAGTCGAGAATTTCGTAATATAAAGTGGGTCCGTGTGCCTGTATGTCACTTGCTGGATTTTTTGCTTTCCATTTTTTTACAATCTTATTTTGAAGGACTTCCTATTGTTGTACGCCTAAAACCAGATGTCCTTCAATAGGAATATGGGTTCTAAATTTCTAATCTGATGTTCATCTTCATCATGTAGCAAGTTTTCTGGGATTATACTGCAAATAAGGTGCTGACATTGGAGTATGTTCCAGGTTTCAACCTTAACCCCCATTCCATTGAGCTATTAATATGATCTGATATTGAGTTTGAAAAGGTAAAGAATCACCATCGTTTAATTTGAAATTTTTCTGGGCAGGTATTAAGATTAATGAGTTAGATGCTATAGATGAAAGGGGTTACAATCGATCTCAAATCTCTTCAAACGCTATGGAAGCATACTTGATTCAGGTGAAGAATCTACCTGTTTATGCACCAACTTGATACAGTATCCTTGCATAAGTAGCAAACTACAAAAATCTCTCTCCATGTCTTTTCATTGAAGTTGTGTTTTATATGCAGATACTGAAAACAGGTTTCTTTCATGCTGATCCTCATTCTGGAAATCTTGCTATTGATGTGGATGGATCATTAATCTATTATGATTTTGGCATGATGGGGGAGATAGAGTCTTTAACGAGGGCTAGAATGATGGATCTTTACTATGCCGTTTATGAAAAGGATGTGGAAGAGGTCTGTGTCTACAATCTTGAATTTCTTGTGGTTAGGCCCGATTATTGACACTGGAATATCTATGGTCATGCAGGTTATGAACAGTCTGATTAGTCTTGGAGTACTTCAACCTACTGGAGACATGTCATCAGTATGTAATATGTATCTTCCACTATATGATTCCGGTAGCTTAAATTGAATCACTAAAC